CCTAATACTGCTCCTTATTTCCAGTTTCACATTCCACCTGTATTTTTAAAGACAGCTACGCCTGTTGCACTCCAATCTTCCAGTTAGAAATTTTCTTCTTAAGTTAAAGGTTGAATATTTCTTAATAGCAGTTCACCCACCCTTTATTACATATCTCCAAAACTCTTAATGGTTCACTGTGATGAGAACTCAAATTAGCCAAAACACTGAATTGATCTACTCAGGTCTTTAGTGCCCAAAGAAATATTCAAAAGGCTATTCAAAGCCAAGGTTAATTCTTTAATCTAAAATCTGGAACTCATCTTTTAAAACAGACAAAATTGAAAGCTATTGGTTAACAAAGAATGGTAACATGGTTTAAAACCTTTTGTCCCACTGCATGTTGTATCCTTGCAGGTGGATCTGTGCTTTCAGTGAATTCAGGAACTCTGAGTGATAGCAAAAGCTTCTGTTTGCTCACACTATCATTTTTGTGTGCCTGGTCAGCTGGTCCGGAGGAGGAGGAGGAGGAGGAGGGAGAAGAAAAAGAGCAGGATGAAGAAGTAGCCTTCTACCTCCTATCAGAAGCTTTTATTTCACCTAATCATTTCTTAACAGAATATAATACAGAATGCAATGATAAAACAAATACCATCTGTCCCCACCATGCACGAACAAAGAAAATTGTTGCTTTTACATTTGTTAAGTTTTCTGTAGTATATTTGCTATCCTTGAGAGGAAAGCTAATAAAAGATGCGCCTTGCTTTAATGGAAATGCGTTTGAATAGACGGAGCTTCCTCAATAACCCAATAAACTACAGATAATTGGATTATCTGTATTTGAAAGAAGTCTTTGATGTTTTGTTCAGAAGAAATGAAAAATTTGCGTTAAAAGCCATCACAATGAAAAGTTTAACAGGGGCATGACAACTGTCCTTTTGGTCTTCTTAGCTATTTTCAAATGTGTTATAATGTGGCTTATGATAGCCTACTGTATAGTTAATGTACCTTTCATCAATTCCTATTTGTTATGAATTGAGAATGTGCAATGGAAAGTCATTGCTGCATGGCAGTTGTGTAGTAACTTTTTAAGTCACATATACTTGTTTCTGTGTCTTGAAAAAAGAGAAAATAAAATCCCCTCTGTGGAAGATCTCAAAGGAGTAGCATATCTATGAAACACAATTAGGTGCTCAAATTTTATATCAACTACTATTCAATTAGAAATGTCATTCAATTAGCAATGAACTTGTAAACTGAAACTAGTAAAAGGAAACCAAGAACTCACTGCATTACTGTGAAATTCGCAATAAAACTGGATTTTTTTTTTCTTTGATAAGAAGAAGCAGTTCATATATAGTTCATATTGAGTTCATATTGAGTTCATATTTAGCTCGTATTTAGAATAATTTTTCTGAACTTTAAAGTGATTTGAAAATGGAAACACAGCAAAAAGCATTTAAAGCATGTGAAGATGCTGAGAGAATATTTTCTGGTAAATAAATAACCCCTGTCAGCCTCATATCTGGGCCAGGTAACCTCGTAGAAACTATTCTGAGGCAAATGGAGGACAGGGAGGTGATTAAAGACAGCAACAGAGCTTCACCTTGGGCAAGTCCTGCCTAACCAACTCAGTGGTCTTCTGTGATAGAGTGACTGCATCAGTGGACAAGGGAAGAGCTACGGATGCCCTCTGGACTTCTGAAAACCTTTGACATGGTCCCAACCACACCTTTCTCTCTAAATTGGAGAGATAAGGATTTGATGGGGGGACTCTTTGACAGATTAGGATTTGGTTGGTCACATCCAGAGGGTAGTGGTTCATGGCTCAGTATCCTGATGGACACTGATGACAAGTGATGTCCCTCAGGAGTTTGTGCTGGGACAAGTACTGTTTAACATCTTCAGCAATGACAAAGATATCAAAGGCATTCCCAGCAAGTCTGTAGAAGGCATCTAGCTGAGCGGTGTGGTTGACACACCTGAACAACGGGATGCCATCCAGAGGGATCTGGAAAAGCTCAAGAACTGGGCCCGTAGGAACCTCAAGTGTTTAACTGGTCCAAGTGCAAGGTGCTACCCAACCCCTGGCATCAAAACAGGCTGAGGTGATGAACTGATTGAGAGCAGCCCTGAGAAGAAGGACTTGGGGATACTGGGGGATCAAAAACTGGCAATGTGTGCTTTCAGGGCAGAAAGCCAACTGTATCCTGAGCTGTATCAAAAGCAGCAAGGGCTAGCAGGATGAGGGAGGTGACCCTGCCCCTCAACTCTGGTAAGACCCCACCTGCAGTGCTGTATTTGGCTCTGGGGTCCCCAGCACAGAAAGGACGTGAATTTGTTCAAGTGGGTCAAGATGAGGCTCAGAAAAATGATGAGAGGGCTGGAGCACTGCTGCTATGAAGACAGGCTGAGAGAGTTGGGGTTCTTCAGTTCCTTACTGCAGCCTTTCACTATCTAAAGGGGGCCTATAAGAAAGATCAACAAACTTCTTAGCACCGGCTGTTGCAATAGGACAAGGAGTGATGGTTTTAACATGAACAGGATAAATTTAGACTAGATATAAGGAAAAGGTTTTTTTACAATAAGGGGAAACAGGTTTCCCAGAGAGGTAGCAGAAGACACCCCATCCCTGGAAATATTCAGGGTCAGACATGATGGGGCACTGGGTAACCAGAGTTGAAAATGTACCATCTAACCCAAACCATTCTATGATTTTATTCTATGATTTATTGGATTTTTCTTTTTAAAGATGGATATAGGTAAAATTTCTGTCTCATTTATGCACATCTGCTTCCTGCATTAGATGTGTTTGTCGACTTAAAAGAATATTGTTATAGATAAACCTTCACACATTTATAAACTCCTGTTGGTACAGAATAATTATTGCTGGCCAGTCAAAAACTGCATAGTTTATTCTTTTCAATTGAGATCAACATAAATATTCCCTAAAACTCAAGTACATAGGCAGTCAGACAGTTATGCCAATGCCCTGAGGACAACTACACTAAAACTGAATTATTCCAGATACATTCATTTCTTGTTAGTGAAAATAAGAAATAACTCCTTGCTGATAACAGCCTTCTGTCCCCATCTCAGCATGTCACCTGAGCTCAAGTATTCTGATCAATTATTTGCACCACAGTGACCCTGTCCTTTTTTGATGGCTGACCGAGCATAGGGAGGATAAACTCATGCCAATATATCAAGGCACAGAATTAGGTAGTCGGATTAAACCTATAAATTCCTTTTCAGTTTTCATCATTCATTTCTTGGTTTTTTTTCTATTCCTTTGATGGTTTTAATAGTTAAGAACAGACCTCCTAAGTGTCTAAAAATATCTTATATGTGGGAAGAGGAAGACAATCAAAAGAAAGACTGTAAAGGTTCTGCAGTTATCTAAACTAGCCAGTGCACAGCACAGTTTCTGATTCAATTGGAATGTTGTTGCTGTTTCCCATGTGAAGTCATGAATATGGAGAGACACAGATTATTTGAATGCATCTTCTTAATTTGAATGCATTTTCTAGTTTGATTTTTTTTTCACATTTTTCAGAGGACAAACAGATTAGAATGTACTACAATGTGCCAAGCAGCATGGACTGTGCTTTTTAAATAAGCTAATCTTTTTATTTTGTCAGAAAAATGTGATGGAACAAACATTTCAGAAAAGAGACTTTCCTTTATAAATTTATACAGGGTCTAGCATAATGAAGGACTGACAACTGGAAGAAGCTTTAAGTGGTATTAGAGTGCAAATAGTGGTACCAGAAAGATAATAAATCACTGGCTAAAACCCTACTGCAATGTTTTAAACATTTTAAGACTGACAGAGTTCTTTTTGGGGAGTTCTTTGACATGTCTCCAGTACAAGGTTGTGCCTTATAGGGACTTGTGTTTACAGTCCTGTGACTTTGTAATATGAACTGGAGAACAATTATAAATGTTTATTATTGTAGAGCAGCAAGCTAAATATTCAATAGGGACAATCCAACATTTTCTCTGCTTTATTCCACCAACTAATTTCAAAATGACCATATTTTCTTACTCATTCTAATGGCTTGCTGAAGAACTGATTGACATATATGTGCAGTAAGATGCTAATTTAAAAACTGAAAAAATGTACAGACACCAGAAGTTTTGCAATCAGACAAACACATATTTTGGATTATTCCTTACATACAACTTCCTAATACTTTCCTGGCACTGTAAAAATGCAGCTTAAGCAAGTTAATTGAATAACAAAAGTACTAAACAAAGATGAAATGATTAGACAATAGCTTTGCAAACTAAGTTTTTTTAGTTCAATTTTTAAAAAATGCTTTCATATCACAACTCATTTAGGACTACTAATAAATGTAATTGAATTGCCAGGCGTTTTTATATTTGATGTTTGTTATTATATGACTACTACCTGGCAACTCTTCGGTAGCAAAAACAAAGTTTGTAAATAAATCTGAATAAAATTTTGAAACTGTTACACATAGAAAAACTAACCTAAAAATTCTAGGCTTTAACTATTTTGGCATCAAATGTATATTTTTTAAAATTACTGTTTATCTACGCTGATTATTATCACACCATAACATGTGCAAAGACAGTTCTTTGGGAGAATGGGATATTAAAAGACAATGTCAACAAAATAAACACCTCCCAAGCTATTAAGTGTTATGAATATTATCTTAATTAGCACAATTTTATAAATTAGCATTTGAAACACTATATATCCTGGAAACACTCTAACAGGTAGCTAGAGTTCATTGTATTTTGGCGAATATTTTCTAAATTTTGATTCTAAAATCTTACATTTAGATCTTGAGATATGATTATGAAGAAATCCAATGTGCAAGCCGTTCTGCATGTGCTAATCCAGAGAGGGGATAACCAAGCAACAGATAATCTGGAGGAGGAGGAGCAGCTCAATGTGGATTGTGATAGAAGCAGCAACTCTATAGTACATACTTGGAACTTCTGATTTTCAATGGGTCATAAATTTGATAGAAGAAATATCTATTTCTTACCTACATTTCCAGTCATTAGGTATGAATTCTGAAAGTCCATCATTCCCATTCCAACAATGTGTATAAAATCTTCAATCACCTGCATTAACTCCACTGAGCCTGGATAGATCTAACAAAGGAAGGCCAGACATGACATTTACTATGGTATCAAAATGTCTGCAGCTGAAAATTCAAATAAAATCCAAATACCATCAAAAGCAAATTGAAACCTAACACTCAAAGAGCTCTTCCCGTGCTTCAATACTAAACACTTTCTGCTACTTTAAAAGAATAATTTTGCTATTAAATCCTCTTATAAACAGACACTACTGTCTGCAAAGTTATATGAAATCAACTGTGCAATGGAACTGTGGAACTGGAACTTCAGAACTACTGATGCAAACAGTAATGCAAATCTTACTGTGGCCTTGCCAGTATGATAACCTTTATTGCATTAATCAACATGTAAGTAAGTTAAATTTTTACTGGTAGTACTATTTTCATTGCTGATATGGAATAGTAGAATCATAGAACATCAGAGGCTAGAAGGGGCCAGTGGAAATCATCCAGTTCAAACCTCTGTGCCAAGCAAGATCAGCTCTAGCAAGTTGCTCAGGAACACATCCAGTTGGATTCTGAATGTCTCCCAGGAAGATGACCCCAGACCTTGACTGTGCAATGTATTCTAGCATTCAATCACTCCCACTGCCAAACAGTTTTTCTTACACATGAATGGTATTTTCTGTATTTTAATTTTTACCCCCTTTTTTTTACTCTTTCAATGGACACCATTGAGACTTGGCTCAGTCTCCTTAACTCCTTTTCCCTTTCAGGAACTTTTAATATTGTCATGTTTCCAAGCAAAATAGTGTCAGCTATTTCAGCCTATCCCTGCATATCTAATGCTCTAGTGGCCTAAACAACTTCATGGTATTTTTTTGGGCTCATTCCATTACTTTGTGTCTTGTACTGAGGAGCCCAGAACTGGACAGAGTAAACTAAAATGAATTGCAATAGCCTTGGAATTGCTAATGTAGCCTCTCAATTTGGTTTTTAAAATGATAAAAACACATTTCCAAGAAATATCATTAATTTGCAAAGCTGTAAGCTACTAAGAAAAACACTTTATTTATTATTTAATAATAATGATTCATCAACAAAACAGCATTAGAGATCATAACAGTTATTAATAAGACTAAAAGTTCTGTTCATATCACATACATAAAAAAATCACTTTTGCTTTTTATTGCCTGTTATGAGCAAGAAAATTTTCAGTAACAGAGTATCTTGCAATAGAAAAATAATGGACGACTTGTTCATGGTGCTTTTTTGTTCATATCACTGAAATGTCCAAATTTCACTTTTTAAGCAATGTTCAACCCATTCTTTCCACTACTCGGACTGTAGAGTCTAAAAAAAGCCTACATTGACTATAAATTCCAACATGCTGCACTCCATCTTCATCTTGGTCTATCTATCTAGATTCATAATTGCTTGGTTCAGGATAGAGAATTTCACAAGGTGCTTTGTTTTCTACATGGATCTTTTTACAAAACGTAGGGCAACAAATAATTTGTTGTAACAGTTATGATCCTAACAGGTTGCAAATGCTGCTTCAGGTGACAGAGACTTAATGTTCATTTTCCTAATGATGAATTACTGAAGTAGTAAGTGTGATTTTTGCATTCATCTCATGCAAGGCACATACACAGATTATGTCCTAAGGAAAAATTTCATTCTTGCATATAAAATTGCATAGTAATAAACTGTTGAGCACTCAATTGAGCAGGTACTCCATGTTTTTATGTATCTGAAGTACTGGTTAATCAATAGGATGCCAGCAGATCTTGATGAAGAATATACAGAATAGCTCCCATGTTTTAAAACTCCAGTATAAACTTACACTTTGTGGTTTGAAATGGCTTCCTGAGTGCAGTGCTTTACATCAGCTCTTAAAAAAAGGAAAGTATTAAAGTGAGCGCTGCTTATCTGAATGTGATATAACCTGTAATTAATGGTTATCAACTTTTGTCATTTCTGCTGGAAAAACATATGTGCTGAGGCATTGCAGCTGTATACTTGATTTAAAGTCAGCAATTTTCTGATAGTAAGATTTTCTTTCCAGCAAAGTATCTAGAAAACAGGCTAAGAGATCTATCCTAACAGTAGCTGTGGAGTTTAAGAAAACTATGCAAGCTGGCAAAAGGTTGGTTAAACTGCACCTCGGTTTGCAATGTTTTATTACAGAAAATTAAGCTGAGTGGCAGAACCTGAAACAGGATCACCTTCATTCACTAGTGCCTGCTCACTCCTCCAAGCTGTTACGAAGAGCTACTTGCTTCCAAAGTTTCTTTGAGCCTGCTTGTGGAACTGCACAAGAGTAACAAGACCAGTGACATTGTTTTTTTGCAGGGCTAGATCTCAGTGGTCTAAGATTTAGTGAATCCCCTAGCTTCGCAACCAGGAACCTATGTCCCCACTACTCCTCTGTTCAGCTCATCTTGGTTCTTTTGGGTTTCTGCTGTACAGTGATCTGTGAGATGATTTACCAGGCAGAGCGAAGGAGCTTTGGAAAAATAGAAATAACTTGCTCCCTCTCTGTTTTTCAATACTGCTCGTTCTATGAGCAGCAATGAAAGGAAGGAACTGGAGATTTACTGTTGCCTCTTTGTCTCTACATTCTCAGAATCTCTTCTTAGGTGCTGTCATCCCCAAATCTCCAGGGTCAGATGGCTGATATGGCATGGGTAAGCAGGCAAGATGGAAGGAGAAGACAAAGTCGATAACACAGGAGTGGTGTCATGACTGTTTATTAGTGGGACTAAAATAATTACTTAATATTGGTTTCCTTATCTTGGTGTTGTTTATGGAAACTGCCCACATGCATGTGATTTTGTTGCTTCCATCCATCACCACTAAAGAAAATTACACACTTTGTCTCTTTTTGCATCTAGCTCTTATATAGAGGAACAGAAAAACAGCAAAAGAAAAATTATGATTGCCAGGTGAATTGCATTGGGTCAGCTGCAGTGTCATGTGCCTACTGCAAGGTTTGTATTAATAGTGGAAAGTCTTGATCTATCCTTTCTTAGTGATATCATAAACATGAACTTACAGAACTGAGCATAAATAGCTTCAAAGATCTTTAAGCACCTTGTAATTTATTAAGAATGACATGAAAAGTGAACAAATTTCAAGTATCCGTAGAACACAGTCATAATGACTGCCCAAGAGTAGAGCAAAGATCTATGTAAGCTGTTTTCTTGCCTCTGACAGTGGCAAAAAGCTGATGTCTAAGGAAGAGTATAACGAGGCAAGAATATAATGATACTTGCTTGGAAAGTCTTTCCAGCCTTTAGCAGCTTTTTTGCCAAAAGACTGTCTTAAGCAAAACCATGTTTTTTCTTTCATAAATTTGCCTGTTAACCTTTTCAACTTCTGTCCTTTCAGTTGCAAGAAGTTCTGCAAGGTAGCCTTCCACAGAATAAGTATCTCCTGTAGTCATTCTGAATCTGCCACTATTTGATGTCCTTTAGTTATTTTACAAGAAGTACAAGTGAGTAGATTAAGCATTCCTGCAGCCCATTCTTCAAACCAGTCCTGATTTTAAAAGCCTCTATTGCATATAAGTGCACTTGACTCTTTCCCATATTGAAACATCTTGCTTTATTTCATAAAGAAATGTTTCCCTGCCTTTGAGCATCCTCACAAATTTTCCTCTTTACATAATTATGTTCATCCCCATTGTCAGCGTTATTTGTACCTGAATAAATTTGGCATTATTATGATCATGTTCAATAACACAAATCTTAACATGGTCCAGTAACTTCTTGGTATAAGCATGTAGGAAATCCTCATATTCAAGAAAAAAAAAAAGGGGGGTTATTTGAATTTTAAACTCTTTTATCATACTTCCATGATTTTTCCTAGACCTTCCTATTTTATAAAGTGTTATCATCATATTCTAGTCCAGAAATTTGTCAGTCCTGAGGACCACACCTGTTCTTTTAAATGCAACCTTCTATGAAAAGTCTACTGTTTTCATTTCTCTAACTTGTTTAGAGGGGTTGTATGAGGTCTTTGGGTGAAGTGTGACATGTTGTGTTTACCAAAACCAGCATTGCAACTAGTCCTCAGTAGGATTTTTTAGCTTTTGTATGTACTTGATTACAATGTTCAAAGCAAAGACATAGTGAATAATCCTATAGAATGTTAATAAAAATCTGTTTTTTATCAAGAGAGGCAACTTATATTCTAAATATAATTTCAATATAAGGAAATAGCTAGTGGGTCCTGAAATTGCTCCTTTTTGAAAAGGATCAATTTTTCCCCCAAAATACTCTCTCTCAGTGTATTTCCTTTCAACTACAGCAAGGTGCATCTTTAACTGATTTCTGAAACCATATAATAAATTCTGTCAAATCTTACCTGTTGAGCATCTTCCCATTTCTCTTTGTTTTCTTCGTCTAAGAGATTACTTATGATTTGAAAGAAGTTCTGAAAAATCAATTAAATAAAAGACTAAGTAAAAATATTTCAAAGATATGTGCTACCATATCCTTATTCTGACAATAAGAAAGTTTTTCTTTCTCTATTACAGATGCAGTTCTGCAGCCTATTTTCTGTAAGTGAAAGAGATGATGTAGCAAAATAACACATTGGACTGATAAGACGGTACAAATTTTATGGTTATTTTTAAATTTTTGCATATATAATCAGGTTCAGTGGTACCACTCTGTATGAAACAAGAACTGTCTTAAACTTGCTAAACTTCTAAGTGTGATGGTGTTCTATTTGCAAATTGCTCTCATTCCAGAAACTAGACAACTATAGATTTTGCAAAAAACAAAAGTACATTTAAGAAAGCACCAGTCTTAGGTCTCTAGTCTCAATTCAAAGTGAGAAAATGATTCTTAATAACCATACATAGGGCATTTAATGATATTTCACTGGCCAATACTGTTTCAAATCAGATGCTTCTTACTTTTATAGTCACACTTGCCTCTACCCTTTTAGAAATTTCAACATAAAAGGAATAAGCATTTTCTGTTTCTTTAACCTTAAGCTGTAAGTTTCTTTTTCTGATTCTCCTATTCATTTAAGTATAAGGGAAAAAGGCAAGACAATTAGATACAAATCATACGTTCAAAAAATCACTTTTCTCCATATGTTTGTGGGAAAATTTCCTTTCTAATTTTGTCTGCTCTCTCTAGCAATTTGTATTCTCAACTACTTCATCCTTAAAAGCTAAGAATTTGTGCAGTCTGCTCTCATCTCTGTATCGCATTTTGTGCAAAATGTCAATTTTGTCTACAGCCTGCCAATTATAATTTATCTGTTCCTTCATAAAAGATACATTTAGTTTCCAGTAACCTTAGCTGAAGAGTGCAATTAAGTTCCCCTCAATTTCTAAAAATCTTTAACTGGAATACCATACATGTGACCCTGCTGGAACTCAGATTACTGGTCATTATCTCATCTGCACTTATTTTTTTAGCCATTTTGGGGAATAAACAAGACTTAAATAAGGTTTAAGTAAGAAGCAACTTTACTCACTATTAATGAAAGTACAAAGGATTCAACTGCACAATGACTGAAATTAGAAAGGAAAAGCTTTTAACATTAGTCTATGGTGGGTATGCTTGAAAGGACATTAATTTCAAAACTGAGATATCACAGACATTTTAGGTGTTTCACTACTATATAAGTAAAACATTTTAGGATGCAAAATTGAAAACAACTTGTGAAAACTATTTTTCTACATAATAACATTTTACCAGTGTAACCTGGTCCCAACACTAAGCACTCGACAAGCAAGTCTAACCTAATGCCTAACCATTAGGAAGTTAACTGTGCTAACTATAAAATTCACATGGATAAAATTTTCTTTAACTTGACCAAATTTACTCTAGAGTGACTGATATTTTGCTGAATTTGGACAAAATAATCTTGTTCATAAATGAGGCTACAACTCTTCTCTCACTGAGGTCACTAGCAAAATACCCACAAGCTTCAGTAACACAACAAACTTCACTGAAAGAAACAAAATGGCTCAGCAAGCTTCTGTGAAAATTGTAAGTAAGCATTTGGACAAGATGGGAATTAATGATAAGGCATAAAAGAAAAATATTTTCATGGTTTGGTCTAATTTGCAGCAATACTGTAGAATTTCCAGTCAAGTTGAAAATAAGAAGAGTAGATACAGATCCATGCTGCTTATATACATGGGATACATTTAACCCCTTTTAGACATTCCATAGCAAAATAAAATTCAAGGCAAGGAGTTACATTTGGTATTTGTTACAAAGTACTGGCTGGTTTAAGCCGGTTGGCAAATCACAATTACGTAAATGTAACTTCAGCAATGAAAAATGTACATCTTCATTGGTCCCCCAAGTAAAATAAACTATATTAGTTAAAGCATGCCGGTTTCATGGTATAATTACATTTACTATAGGGCATTGTAATTTTGGTGAAGACTTCTACTAGGTAGATTTGGCCTTATGAAGATTTTGCCTGAAGGAAAACACTTTCTAAACATGGTGGTTCTCAATTCTTCCAGTGCAATATTGTAGAAATACAGTGGATGGAAATTTTAACTTTAATTTATTAGGGCATCAGTAGCAGTCTAACTGCAGCAGCATGGAACTCAGTGTGGGATAATTTATCATACTAGAGAGTTTTTTTGAAGGTAGTTTTGCATTACATTGCAGACACGGATTCCCCTGCAGTCTAAACTTAATTGCAAAAGTATCCATGTCTGTGTAATGAGATCTTTCTGAGAGCTGCCTAGATTACATGAAGAGAACTCGGGAGTTAAAAATGTTTCTTGCACATGATATATTACATGCGTTTGCTAATAATTTTATGTATTAGTTAAATTTTATATTTATTTTAGTTACAAAAAGCATAAAAATTACCAGTAAATGACAGAAATATATGTAGAAAAGTCTATAAATAATGCTAGACACAAGTACGAACAAAAGACGAGTAATAACTTATCTAATATATATATTGGCACTTGCCAATAAAGTATAAATTAGGTATATGAACTTAGTAATAATAACGTATTTCTTCTTGAGATCTTTTTTTCTCTATTTGTAACCCTGGTTGGTGCCATATTTATGGTAGCACTGGAGGGTGGTGTGTGCAGGTTTTTCAGTCAAAGCAATTTTTCAAAGCAGTATTACTGCTTTGTGAATTAAACGGAGATGAACAAATGGATGTGCTGCTTCAATAACGAATAGAAATGAGATGCACTTCAAAAATGTGACAGAGGAAGAAGGGTTAAAAACCTTTGGCCTACTTTGACTACTGTCTTGTTTATTGCATTAATCATGAAAGAAACAACACTGTCCTTTAGTAAAGTGATTGACAGGTGTGAAGGCTAAATTTTAGAAGCATTATGGAGATGTGATCTGAGGGTATTACTGCAGTAAACACTGGACCTCCCTGTTGAATCAAGCTTCTTTCTTTCATAGCTGGGCTTACATACTACTGAACTGGTCACTATAGAAAATCTTGGGACAGCCAGAACCAAATGTTGAAGTCCTTTATTTTTGCCCAGGCTTTTTTGATCATCATGCCAGTTACAGCTGGGAATGGACAACTACATTTTCCTAATTTAATTTCCTTCCTTTCAGTTTTTTTTTTTCTGTAATACAATGGCTGCAGTTCTCTTTTCCAGTCCAAATTCTTTGACCCTCTCTGCAGGCATAAAGCTGTCATAAATCCTTTTATACAGATAGAGAAGAATTCCTCCCTAGGAGGAATTAATGGATAGCCTTGAGTCACCTCCACTTTTGGACTTCAGCTTAGTGAATGCGTGTGTGGGAGGGGGAAGGTGGAGGGAAAAAGGATTGGACAATCCTGTTAAATCCTGACTCACAGCAATGGTCCCTGTGGCTAATATAAAGGGATTATATTTCTCTAACTTCTTTGAGGAGAAATCTTTTTTTCTGTTGGTTGCTGCATCAGGGGATTGTACAACTTGCTTCACCATTCTGTCCTGAAATGTAGTTACTTTCCTGCCATCCTGTCCTTAGAAGGAAGTTCAAGCAATTTTAGACTAGTTCTGGATAATATTCCAAAATGTTGATTTCATTTAGCTTAATTTAAAATTCGTATTTTCTTCCTGGTAGAATCATTCTCACATAAGTATAGTGTCTGTCTCAGCCTCAGTGTACCCATATAGGTTATTTTAAAGAATTCCCACATTAAATGAAAAACCTTGCTCACATAAGAATTGAATTACTCTTGTCTTGCAATAATTTCTGCTACTCTACTGATATTTTCAGTCACTGATGCAGGAAACCTTCTTGTTTAATTTCGTCATAAATGGTTATTTTTGTTCCTGACATTGTATGTGCAAGTAGACATAGATACTGTTGCAAAGAATGGTTAAAAGATGCAAAAGCAAAAGGAGCCATGTAATAAATAACTTGGCACTAAATATGCACGCCTTAAAAACTTTATTTTGTTCTTGGTATTGTCTGCCTAAAAAGGTGGCATTTTCAATGCAGCACATCAGGCAGCAGCACCTTCATTTTGGATAATTAGCTGGAACATTTCAAATTTGATATCACTTTTCTGTTCATTCATTTTGTTGTGAAGTCTCTGAATCACAACTTTTGCACTATTCATGAATATTAATACTGCATATAAATCAGATATTATAGGCATTTGAAGGACTATCTAGATGGATGGAATGTATAAGAAACAAATATATTCAGACATACATACTTTTTCTTTCTCAGTCATAATTCAAGTTTTATTTTTGTACGGATCTTAAAAAATACTGTTGCCCATAATTCATGATAACCTACTTTTCCAACCTCACACAAAATAATATATTATGGCTTTTAGGGATTTTAAGCCTCACTCATGCTTTTCTGATAATTTCTTTAAAACCAAAATCCATCAACTAAGAAATTCTACTCTTTATCTAATTAAAAAAAATACAACATAATTAGAACACCACACAGAGCTTCTACATAAAGAAGAATTTCCATGCAATTTTAATTTTTACCTTTCTGTCACTTTGATGATGAGCTAGGAAATATGAAAGTATGTCCTAATGAAAATAAAAAACAAATACGATACTCCAGAGTATGGTAGAATAGGACATATGTTTACATATGGAAAAATCCATGTTTCTCAGAAACTGGCAGCAAATTTTAAATTTTTGTTACTGAGCCAGGATTTCACTTTTTATCATCAGAAGTCAGTAAGAGCAACCTTGCTTATATCCCCTGGGCCAAACACATGCTTTATTTTGATTTCACTTACTTTGCTAAATACTGTGCATTTTTTTTTTTAGTTTTACCTTCGCTTGATGTTTGGTCTTTTTTTTTTTTTTGTACTTATTCCTTTTCTGACTTGGAGTTTGAATGTTTTTTAAACTGAGATTAAAGAAGTCTTTGTATTTAGGCACGCAAATACTGAAATACAGTTATTTTTCTTTGGTCTGAGAAATCCTTCAGAATATGGCTTACCGATTTTCATATTTTTTAATTTCTTCATTTCTAAATTATTAATTAAAATTCTTAAAACAATATTTAATAACATTGTCAAGTTCTGCCAGAATACTACTAGAATTTTAGAAACAGCTCTACATTGCAGAATTAAGCAAAACGTTTTAGCACTATCATCAGTGGGCAAAGAATCAAATTCTCTCTAAAGTATGTAAACTGCAAATGACCTAATCTGCTAAGCCAATCAAAATCACTTGTTTTAACAAAGACTTTGTAGTGTCTGTGAACAACGAAGAAATCACACTAGGCTATCAGACTGTTAACTGCATTAAAAATTTTCAGTGAATAACATCCTGCCTAATAGTAAAACTATTAATGACTAGATACTGACCCTCATTCAATAAAAAAAGATTGTTCAGCAAACATACTTTTTGAAAACCATTGTTTTGAAAAAAAAAAAAAAAATCACCTGGCTACAGGCCAACATAAGAAATGTTGGTTTTACTGTGGAAGTTAAGTTCTTTGTGCATAGAAATACTAGAAAAGTGAAAACATAATAGCAAGTCTTGAAAACTTAACTGTGAAAAAATGTCTTTTCCAAGATCTCTCTTCATCTGCATGCATCTATTCTAAAGTGTATTTAAAATTTATGCTTACCTTTACACAAATACGTATACATGACCTGCATTAATAACTTCATTAGTAATTTATGAATGATCATTAATCTCTCTTTTTCATAAATATTATACACATCTGCCTTCTTAGTATTCTTTTCCAGTAATCTACAATCTTTGAAAAGTGTCTAAAATTTTCAGATATAAGATGAAACCAATATCCTTATCTAGAAGTCCTGAGTAATATTTATGTCAATCAACACTATGCAATGAGTTGTGCAGCCCATTACGTATAAATAATTATACTGGTTTTAACTCTGACAGCATTTCATTTGTCCTCTTGCACGGAAGAGTTAATCTAACATATGAAATAGAAAATGTGTATCAAATGCACTATCCATCACTCCTGTGCACTTTTAATGAGCTTTATTTATCTGAAATGAAGAAGCAATGCCAGAATTACATAACATTGTGGATAGATTTTGAACTGAAATGAACTAGTTTTGAACTGAAATGAACTGGAACAAAGAACACTAGCAAAATGCTTAGTGCCAAAAAATACCAACACCTCCTATCAATCAGACCAAACCTTGAAAGAAAAAGATACTGAAATGTTACAAAGAAAGTATTTTACATTTCTCACTTGCTGCATTGGTTTGGATATTTGTCTCACTGAATGTAGTTCAGTATTCTTTCTATATTACACTTGGTTTTATGGATCTCAGGGTTTTTTTTGGATCTCAGTTTTATGTGAAGAATGCTTATGTCTCTTATGCAGAAGACTTTCTTTCCTCAGTGGGCAAGACAGTTGCCATGCAGTATACTGCAATATACAGACATAAACTCCATCCACTGAAACATTACTTTTACAGTGTTTCTCTTACCTGTACCCCATCAGACGCAGGGATATAACTTGCTCTTTTAAATGTATCTGTAACATTTCTGAGAATTTCTACAGAAATTAAAAGGTCCCCAGCATAAAAATTCTTCCTCTGTGTTAAATCCAAAAGTGTCTTGGTTACTTGAGACATGCCATCACCAGCCAGCATCCTCTGACCCTTGGCAAGGTGCTCTTTAATCTGTACCAAAAAAAAAAAAAATCCAAACTATTATCAGAACCTATTTTACTGAGAAAAATGTATGACAAATTCTGAAAACAGACAAAATATTAACTGTTAAAACTAGTAAAAAAAAATTGTCCTGTTAAAGATAAGACAAAATAGTAATCTACAGTGATATAAATATAATTTTTATCAGAGCATCATTGATTTTATACTGAAAGCTTCTGAATCCACAGCTGCCCCTCATTTAACAACCAAGACCTCTGAAAAGAATAAATGCTAAGGCAGTATTCGTTATGATCTAATTTACTATAGGAGAGTAGACCTTTCACCTCTGTCAGCCCAGCTTTGTTAATCAAGAGAGGTGCTTTAGTTGGAAGCTGGTTATGGTGCTCTTTTCTGTAGCATGAGCACAAAGGTGTTAACTTGGAACAATCCTGTTTGCTTTTTCCATGAAATGCAAATTAAATTATGAATAGCTTCTGTGTGCCAGGATAGCTCCTATCTGCCAAAAGAGCATACTTTAGCAGTAGCTCTCCCAGCAGATGTGTTCAGGGCTAGTGATCCAAAACAAATATGCTAGAAGTATCCTCCTGATAAGAACGTGAACTTGTGGATCTGTTTAATTCTCAAAGCTGACTCAGCATCCCAGGAAGAGTATAGAGTACATATGTGCATAGAGTATCACAAAGATAGGACAAGGCCAGACAAGGATAAAAGAAAGAGCACATGGGTTAAACAACCTTTTTTTTAAAGATACATAATAATTTATGCATAAAAGTGCAATTTCTTCTGAAGTGAAAATTAAAATATCATAGAATCATAAAACAACCTGAGTTTTAACATTTTTTGATGGAAGAGAATTACCCAAGGCAGACCTCACTCTAAGCAGAAGGGCTGAAAATACTATGCAACTGACAACAAAAACGTCAAAGTCTTTAAAAATGCACCTTCAGTTGCTTTTTAACTTGCCTTATTAGTGACACATAGAGGAAAAATTATTAATGTAACATACAGTTGAACTAGATGATATTGAAAGTCTCTTCCAATCTTGATGATTCTGTGATAATAGGGTGGTGATGTGGAAGGAAGAGTGCAAAGATACTTTTTGCCACTTCCAGTTCTCCCCAGAGATTGTGTCAATATGCAGGCCTTCATTATATAAAACAATATATAAGAATATACTATATAATAAAAGTGTTTGAAAGGGTTCAAAATAACTGCACTGAAAGCAATTTAAAAACTGCAACCATCCTAACATACTAATTCTAAGGAGCATGGGATTTTTTTCATGCTGTTGGTTCATATTTTGGTTACATTCTCAACCAGTCGACAGAAAAACTATATATGTAACACACTTAGGGCTTTGCAAAGTGGCTGCTTCAGGCTTCCTCTGTGGCCTTAAATCATCTTTAAGAGCAGCTAGGGATAGTTATGGACCACAAGTGCCTTGACAAAACCCTAGAAATACTTAAGATTTGGGAGAATACTTGCCTGCTGCATCATGGACAGGGAGGGAAAATATTCTATACCATGAGTACAGAGGTACAAACATAATATTATTACTAATATTTAGAAAAAAATCGGTGAGAACAAAGATGATTAATTGGTTTGTTTGGTTGCATTTTGTAAACAAATATTTCAGCAGTAATATCTCCCTTAGTCTTCAGAATACTGCAATACATAATCAGGCAAGAAGCTTGCTTGTAAAAATAATTTTGTGCAGTTTCTATTTCTTTTAGAAGGAGATATTGAACATAATTGTGTAGGAAAATACTACTGAAGAAAAAGGTGTGAGAATGGAAGGAAATTAATTTCAGTAAATTCAGGAATCTGAAATTGTACACATAACGTTATAAACTGCTTGTGTGGAAACAAGTAAAAGCAAACACGAACTTGATTTGTGCATTTTTGCTGAGAAAATTTTCTTGTGAAATGTTGCCATTTGTCTCATCTGCTCACACATTGTGTCTCAGTAGCAAGTGAAAAGATCATCAGCCAGCACAGTAATATTAAAGAGTAGAACTTTTGATTTAACTCATCCACCTGCTCCTTACACCAGAACATATTTCCATATTTTGAGGATCAACAATACTGAGCGTACCTTTAGCCAAGCTCAAAAGACATAGAACATAAAAGACCATCCATATAGCTGAACTCCCAAATCTAACACGTGCCTCAGAATGCACTGTGGAAAAGGCATCACACAACTTGAAGGCAGGGTTTAAGAAAGAAAAATATGTTATTTTAGTATCAGTAATAACAACAATTGATCAGTCCTCATAAAAACTCCACTGTGCTGTTACGCCTGTGTAAACACTGGTAGGAAAGCTATTGAGCTATTCAGAAAGTTATTTTGTAGTGCATTATTTTGCTTCCTTTTGCTTCATCTGTATGTTCGCCTCCCATTTGTTTTTCCATGCTCCTGCAAGACTTTGAATTCGCATTTTAATATGGCCGGGGCCAAGTTGTGATGGTTTTGACACATACGAAGGAGAAGTCTTGGCCTCAGCTGATTTTGGAATGCAAATAATAAATTGAAATGATCCTACTTTTGACTGGTTTTTTATATTTTCAAACAATTAAAGTTCTGAGTTTCTTTTGCAGATGTCTAACAGCAGAAGTGGGAGCTGTAGTACATGGCCTTTAGTGCCTTCACAAAGACATTTTGGTTGCTCTTTGGACACTGTGATAAAGGTCTAGCAAGTGCCCACAATGTCACAGCACTAAGTTATTACACCTGCTTCAAAAGTAGTCAGGGTTGTGATGCAGATGGTTCAAAGTATCTCAGAATTTGCTGGCTCTTAAAAACTACAGCTCAGTTTGGAACTCTTTTTTTGTTAAATTACATACCCAGTAAGCTCTATTTCCCAGCCCAAGGATTCTTTCTCCCTCATACACACCACTCATACACAGTTCCAAGAGCACCTTTCTTTTCACCCTCTCAACCTCCAACATGGAAGTTCCTTTCCCCAATCCTTAGCTACCTCTCCAGGCCCACAATGCCTTGAGTTAGACTAGCAGCACATCCTTAGAAACAGCACAGCAAAACGGAAGGTCACGGTGTGTTTAGCTAAGAAAAGTGGTGAAAATTAGAATTAATTAGGAGAATTTTTTTCTAAGACCAGCATGCAATGTGCAGGGGAAAATTAACGGTCTCTTTATTATCTGTTTATTATATATTTTCTTGTTGTAAGACAGCTTACAACTCCTAAATACAGTTTAAAATCACAGGCCATTCACTTAGTTGATGTAAACTGGCACAATAGCACTAAAGCCACTGAAGATGTTCAGATTAGTTTAAATTAAAGGTAGTGAATAATTGCACAGCTTTCACAATAATCTTTCTGCATGAAAATACAGAATATTTTCATCAGTAGTTAGTATAACATCTTTCTCACCATACTGTTTATTTTCTGTGCTATGGTCACTGTGATATTATGCACTGCCCAAGAAAGCCATTTTGGTCACCACTCTAGGTCCTTGTAGTTCTCTGTGTGAAGGTCATTTTTTAGTGGTCTTACAGGCAGGCTCATTAAAAATAAAGTTTATGAGCCGAGAGATAGTGAAATGAAGCAGCTGTTAAACTGACACTTCAGTTGTCAGCCCAGCCTCTATCTGCCTGCACTGTATGCCTTCATACTTGAAAAATTACTGAAATGTTTAACTGGACTTTGACTCAGGGTCCAACTGCCTTTGTCCCCCGATTTATCAGAAAGCATGGTATAATAAAAATGCCTCTTTAAAAAGTCATATCTCCTAGGCCACCAGCATTGGAGTACAATTTATTACTGCATAGTAATTACTGCAAACTTAACAGCTAGATATGGTTTAAAAGGACAGAAAACAATGAGCCCTCAAGAAACCTATAAAAGACTGAAAAGAATTATTAATTTGAAGAGTAACTACACCATCAAACATTTTTCATTATTTTTTGAGATGATGTTGGATTCATGGTTAGGTATTACTAATGATGTCATAAACACATTTTATGGTCAGGGGACTATAAGAACCCAAATTAGTACGCCTTACACAGAAGTGTGGAAAGATAATTTGAAATAAAAATACATCCTGAAATTAATCGTAATCTGCACACCATTTTGCTTTTTAACTTCAGAATTTAAGATTAATATTTTGCAAAATATAGTGCTCTTTAGATGTAGAAATTATAAGAATATTCACACCACACCTGTAATGTGATGCCTTTGTGAGAAATTTGTTCATATTTGACAAAATCTTCATTACAGGCTGTTTTTTTCTGATAACCAATAGACAGTCCTTTAACTGTTTTGGCACAGAACTTTATTCTCCCTCAATATAATAAATTATTTATTATTTATTTGTGTATTTTCAGGCTGTTTCAGTGTTTGAGAATATAATTTCATCCATCTTTTAAAAGAAACAGAGTAAGGTCTAAAGATAGGGCTATGCATCTTCAGGTATCCATTCAAATATTTATAACCTAACATCATGCAAGAGATGTTTTATATATATTCAGTATTTTATGAAGGAAGTGCCTCAAGCAATACAAAGTAATTTTCCACTTTGTCATCAGTGAAATTAGTTAGTAGTCTCAAATTCAATCATGATAACACACTATTAAATAAACATTTTGTGCAAAGAAGAAGGCAATCATGTATTCCCTTTGTGTATAGCAGAAAAGGGGAAAAGTAATTTGTATATATTGTGTCAAGGAAGATTAAGGATATAAATTAAGGAAAACTTTACAGATGTAAAGGAAAGGACAGACTATGCAGACTTCCATACTGGAGGCCTTAATAACAGGCAAGAAAAACAAAAAGCTGGAATAACACAAGTATAGCTGATTCTGATAGGACACAGGTTTGGAGTGGGTGATCTAATGAATTTCCTTTCAGTGCTGTAATTCTGTAACACATCCCTGCAAATGTTCTGAAACCCCAACTAAAGCCTCCTATAATTTACCCCAATCAGAAAAGTCAAAGTTTAAGGAATGCCCTGAAATTGAACTCTAGCCATCCTGCATTTATATA